CTTCTTGACAAGTTATAGCAAAGGCCATCATTGTATAAGAGTTTAACTATTGCAATCTTTAGTTAGATAAAAAGAAAATGGAAAGATGTATTAACATCTTTTAAACAGTCCTCATTTTATTCACCAAGAAAACTTTGTCACCAGCTCACAGTACAATTTGGAATTACACCAAGTTTAAGTCAGTTCTCACCTAGACTTGGCTTCTTGACAAGTTATAGCAAAGGCCATCATCGTATGAGAGTTTAATTATTACAATCTTTAGTTAGATAAAAAGAAGTAGGAGAAAGTCTGTCTTAGCCATGTAAGCCTCTGTGTGGCCTGCAAATCTTACCAGTATAACAAGGTAAGAAACCTGGAAGGCCTTGTAGCTACTCTGCTGGTATTGCTTTCTATAACATAGCTGTATTGGAAGTCTTAAGGATTATGGTTTTGGTGGGTTATAGTGCTTGGTTCTCTTTATTGTGTGTTTCTTGTTGTTATGTAAGACATTACATATTTGGGTCAAACTAAGCAGCACAAAAATGCTTTAATCACCTTTTCATAAACATTTGTATCTTAATGTTGCTTACTGAAAACATTGCTGTCAAATTCAGTGTATTGTGACTGCTGTGCATGTGTTGGTGAGTCTGTCTGTGCTACTGTTTAAGGTGTGAGGATATGGTGGACGTGCGGCGACTGAAGATGCTTCAGATGGTACAGTTGTTTAAATGTGAAGAGGATGCTGCTCAGGTATGGAAATGCCTATAGAATTTCATCATTCTGGTCTTTGTAGTCCACTGGCTAAACGTACGCAATTGATAATTGTACACTTTTTTTGTCTCTTTCAAATGTAGTTTTATTTAGTGAATTTGCACAGTGAAAATAAAGGATGTATCAATGACTGAAAATAGTGTATTTGATGATTGCATGCACAATCTACTAGTTTGATACCAATCTTTTAAACTTTTTTCCATATCAAAATTATATGCTAGTACTGAAGTTACTTCACCTGTCTGGATTAATTTATTTTTAATTTACTGATTTTTATACTTTTAACTTCTGTTTTTAAGGCAGTAGAGTGGTTAAGTGAACTGCTGGATGCTCTGCTGAAGACACATATCCGATTGGGAGATGATGCTCAAGAAACAAAAGTTTTACTGGAGAAACATCGAAAATTCGTTGATGTTGCACAGGTGAAATTAGTGACTTTTTAACAATGTGGGTTTTGTATAGTTTCAGAAGATCTCCTAAATAGAGTTAGTACCTGTATGGGTGATCATGAAACAGCTGTTACTCGTCTTAATGATTTGCCTCAGAGCTTAAATGAAGAAATTGTGGTTGCTGGAACTGGTGATGAGCCTAATGAGATTTTGAAGTTCCATCAACAGTAGCGATGCTGCAGTTTATTACCTTAGTTTATTCTGCTTCACCTAGACAGTGCAAAACACAAAACTTAAAGTTCACATTGACTTTCTTTAAAAGGCATATATTTCAGTCTTTATAATGACTTTTGAAGGACTGCAATCAAAATACTGAAATATGGATGAACCACTTGGTTTCAGTGTACTTTGTGTTGTACTTCATGAAACAGAGCCTATATTTCTATTGGTTTTCCACACAGAGTTGACTGTTGGTGTATGATGGTCCTGCTCATACAAGGAGTTTTGGCACTAGCAGAGTTAGTGGATGAACAGATCTGACAGCTTTAATTCTTTACTATAGCAACCAACTAATGAACACTGCTGAACAATAGTCTGCTGAAGTTCACTGAAGCCATAGGGCATGTTTGCATGCAAATTTTGAATATGCAAAAGGATGCCGGGTACATGTGAAAGAATTTCACTTAAGAATAAAAAGTGTACAAGCTGGGCCTTTTTCAGGTGCTTTTTCAGATATATACTGCTTTTAGGAATGTCTGATTCAGACTTGTCAATTAACAGATGTGATGTTTTCAAATTGCACCTGTTAGACTGGAAGTGATTTTCTCTTTTGATGAGTTAGAACTGACAGTGACAGGAGGGTAGCTTGCTGTTACAATGATAAGCCACAACACACCTGGATGCTAGGTGACCGCAAACATGATGACAGTGAAGTCAGTGAGACAGTCATCTTGGCATTAGTATCCCATGTAATATCCAAGCAGCTATTCAGTATTTTAAGGAAACTCTGATCTTTTGCCAGTATGAACACTAGACAACAGCAGATTGTTTTTTTATTTTTTTTTTTTATTTTTTTTTAAAGAGCAAAAGTACTGTTTGGTCATTACAATTTTATTCGTACTTCAGCAGCTTTTTCTAGTAGTCCAGATTAGTTCAATATACTTTGTGGATCTAAACTGAGGAGGTTTCATAAATGTGTCTGCTGTTGTTTTAAGATATTAATTAGCTCCTAAGTTAAATACAGAGTTTTTATGTGTACTTTCTTTCCCATCTCCTCAAACTTTTAGAGTACGTATGATTATGGGAGACAGTTACTGCAGGCAACTGTTGTCCTGTGTCAGTCCCTGCGATGCACTTCAAGGTCCTCAGGGGACACACTTCCAAGACTGAACAGAGTGTGGAAACAGTTTACAATAACTTCTGAAGAAAGAGTGCACCGGCTGGAAGCAGCTGTTGCATTTCACTCAAGTGCTGAAAAGGTGAGTGTTGTGCTTTTAAGAAGAAAAATTTCTTATTGGAATTTAAGCAAACAAAATGTAAAAAAAAAAAAAGTTGCCAGAGTGTATATTTTTCCCTTTCTAAATCTTAAAAACAAGCAGAAAGAAAAATTTAAGTATATATTTTTCTAATTGTTAGTTTCAATACTTAATGCAATTGTTGCTTGCATGCCTATATTGTTACAGGGTCTGCTTAAGAAAAAGGAGAACAGCAGCCCTGAAGGTCAGGGGCATTGACTTGGGGCTGGGAAGAATTTCTTTTAACTCTTCAGAGGCGAGCTCTGATGTTGATCATAAAGCATTTCTTTGCGTGTTTTAGACTAATTCTTAAAGACAAGGAACACTTCTTGATTTGTGTTTTTGTGTGAGGTATAATACAAGCTATGGGGTCATTTAAGATCTTTGTAGAGTTAAAAGGAGTGTTGACTTTTAAGCTGTGTGTATTTTGAATGTGATATTCCTCTCACAAACTGTGTAAAAGAATGAAACTCTCGCCCACCAGTTTAGTTTCCATGCATGCTGTGTTGCTGCATCTTGTATTTTGCACTTGGAGGGTGTTGGACATGGTTTCTTCAAAACACACCTCTGCCTTGGTATGGTTTTCAAACTCCTGTAACCAAGTGTCTCACCACTGTGCCCAGCTGGATAATACTAGAAGCCACAGAGGATGATGAACAATCAACAATGATGTTATTGAGGGATAGTTGCTATTCAGTAACAGCTTGCTGAAGGGGGGAGTGTCAAGCGTTTTCAAATGCCTGAATTAGAGACAATTGATGTAGATCCGTTAATGTAAATCAAGAGAGGTAGGGCCTTTTCATCCAGGAACCATTCTTTCTGTGAAGTGATACATTTTAGAAGAGCAATTTAGATTATGTCCCTAATATTGACAATAAAATTGCATATAACGGCAAAAAAAGCCAAGCTTGCATGTAATTAAAAAAAAAAAAAAAATCATTCTGTCATTGAAGGAGAGCATGGATGCAAGGTTGACTCATATGCTCCTTTCTTTCATTAATTTCCTGCTTGTACCACTGGAAGATACTTTGAATTTGTAGGCATTGTGAGTTGCCGGAGGTTCACAAAAGCAGAAGTATGCCACAGATGACTGCAAAAAGTTTTACCTGATACCAAATCAGAATTCAGTGGTTCTTAAACTCCTAAAAGAGTTATCTCAGTCCATATTATGAGCATTCTTTCAGTATTGCAGTAGTTAATTGCTATGTTTTTAGACAGTCTTATGTTTAAAGAAACTAAATGGATAGCTAAAAAAATAATTGTTCAAAAACATAATTGACCTACGACAATCATCTAGTCCAAATGCCTGACCACTTCAGGGCTGACCAAGTTAAAGCATGTTATTCAGGGCATTGTCCAAATACCTCTTAACTACTGACAGGCATGGAACATCGACCACCTCTCTAGGAAGCTTATTCTAGCGTTTGACCACCCTCTCAGTAAAGAAATGCTTTCTAATGTCCAGTCTAAACCTCCTCTGGCACAGCTTTGAACCATTCCCATGCATCCCATCACTGGATATCAGGGAGAAGAGCTCAGCATGTCCCTCTCCACTTCCCCTTTTCAAGAAGCTGTAGAGAGCAATGAGGTCACCCCTCAGCCTCCTTTTCTCTAAACTTAGAAAAGCCTGAAGTCCTCAGCTGCTCCTCATAGGACATTCCTTCCAGCCCTTTCACCAGCTTTGTTGTCCTCCCCTGGACACACTCAAGGACCTTAACATCCTTCTTAAATTTTGGGGCCCAGAACTGCACACAGTATTCAAGGTGAGGCTGCGCCAGCGCTGAATACAGTGAGATAATGGTTTCTTCTATTTTATATGACTGTCTTGATGCAGGTTACTATTACTATGCATTTTATATTTGCTGGAATATTATCTAGCAAGGCTATTTTTTTCTTTTTTGTTCTCTCTAAGAAGTAAAATGTTCTAGTACAAAACAGTGGTAGCCCTGAACTATCTTCTCAATGTAGCTTAATTGGTATTTTCCTTTCTTGGATTATATGAATATTTCAGTCAATCTCATGTAAATGTGTCGGTGAAGATGCTGAAAGAACATTCACTTTGCCAGTTAATGGCACTTAAAAAACTGCGTGCTATCCCTTGTCTTTATTCTGCATTTTTTTTTTTTTTTTTTTTTTTTTTTTTTTTTAAACAGATTTTGCAAGAATGTCCAGAGCAGCCTGAAGCATTTAATGAAATGGAGCAATTTGATGAAATTGAAGCAGTTGGGAAATCACTGTTGGACAGACTAACAGTGCCTGTTGTTTATCCCGATGGGTATGCATAATGTTTTTCTAATGCCTACCAAATATGGTTTTAGTAGTTTTATAAGAGTCTTGTATGCAGAAGAATTCTAAACACTTATTGCTGAAATTAAAAAGGCAGGGCAGTAATACTGATTAAAAATTCTTTCCCACTTTTTCACAGAAAGCAGGCAGGTCCAATTTCAAACTTTCCAAAGACAACATACTTGCTTTTTTCAAAGTGGTGACTTTTTCCACAATTAGTAATTATTACATTTATGCAGTCTTTACACCAGCAAGGTATGTAGAAGTAACAGAAGAATAACTACTTCCTATATCTTCCCTGAAAAAAAGATATTGTATTTGAATCATAGTATTTTGATTAATTTATTCACAATTCTGTCTGAAGTCTTAAGCTGGTACATTGAAGATAAATTTACATTTGATTTATTCAGCAAATAAAACATTACTTGCCTTGTGAGCTATTCATACTAATTTAAAATTGGTGGCTGTCTTGAGCTACAAAAGCAAATTGAAATTGTAATGTCAACCATAATAAAACTCAGTTCTCTGTTCAGTAAAAGACACTTGTCCATTGTGATGCTGCGCTTGTAGATAGTTTCTTCTACCTGAGTATAAACACCCCTTGGAACTAGTCTCTGTGTAGGATCCTGCATCATAGTGAATGAGATATGAAATCAGTATTTTGAATTAGAGGCTGAAACCTTATGAGATGTTATCAGGCAACTGCATTATGGGTTACCTGAAATCAATCTGAAAAATACAGTTACAGGAAGCTGGTCATGAAAATTAATTTCCTGTCATCTTATTTCCAAAATATCAGGCTTCCTATGCACCATAGTTTCCTTCAGTAAGGAGTGCTACCCATGAAGATGGACCCAGACCTCAACTGGATTTTTACTGCCCTTTCAGTAGTGTATTTGAAAATAGTGGAGGATTTTATAGATGTGAGGGGGGAAAAAAACAACACAACTCAATTAGTGTGTTATGTTTTTTTGAAGTATTTCAGTATAATTCTCCATATAGCAGATTTTAGTGACCCAGTAAAAGTAGCAACTGTTATTTATTCTTAAAACCAATGTAATTTGTAGATAGATAAAGTAAAAACATTAGAACCTGAGAAAGCTCCCCATGAAAGATGCTTGCCATGCTTTGAGGTTTGAGTCCTAACAGAATGCTCCTATAGGAATAGGTATATGTACACCTGCATTTTAAGCTGAGTGACTGAATCCTGAACATTATTTCTGACTCCTCTGGCATTTCAGCAGAGCACTGCATGTCCCCCTTCTCAAAAATGGGGTCTTAGCTGTCCTAAATCCTGAGATCCTCTGCTCGTCATCCCTAGACATTCTATTTTAGAATCATTTTATGAACAATTTGCAGAGTGTTCACTTATTAGTAGACAGAGTTTAAGAAATGTAGGAACACACAAAATGTCATAAAAAGTTTGGAAGCGTCTTCATCAGCCTCTTTACCGCTGCAGACTTTTGTCAGTGTTTTCTTGGAAGTCCAGGCCACTGTTCCCTGTCCTATTCATGGCTTCTAATCTGCATCAGGAAAAACATCTGCCCCCATGCTGTGATCCCGTGCGCAATTGTGCAGTCTGTTGTCTTTGGTGTTCCCTAGTCAAACTAGTCCAGTCCTGCATGAAATAACTTTTCTGTCTGTTTATGCCTGTCCCCCCACTTTGTCTGAAGTACTTTGTCCTGCAACCATTTTCAAAGACTTCAATGTCTGTGCTTTGTAATTAGATTTGGTACCTATTCTTCTTCTGAAACATGTATTCTGCTCAAATCCTCCTTTTGCTGACAGCTTGGTTAGTGGTTTCCCTAACATTTTGGCTGTTCCTTTGTTGTATTTGAATGAGAGAAATCAACTTATGTAGCCATGTGTTCTTTTCAGTTTAATGGATAGATGACTTAATCTGACAGCATGTGGCTGATGTCATGTACAGGGTCCTTTAATAATGAAGCAATTGTATAGCCTCAGAATTAATGTATAGACAGATTTCCTTGATTGTCATAGTATTCAAAACTGCCAGACTGACTAGGGGGTAGCCACAGAATGGCAGTAAAAAATAGTGTTAGGAAGTATCTAGTTGCACTTACAGAACAGCGCCTCACTGTTGAATCTTTTGGGTATTAAAGGGTCATTTAGTATTTGTAATACTTTCATCAAGAGCTGCTGACAAGTCCCCTCACTGAGTCTACAAAGCCTTTTAAAGGTGGCGTTTAAATTTAAAGAGGAAAAAGTGCCTGTTTTTCTTATCTGCTTAGTGTTTTCTAGTGCCATTCACATGTATATTCATGCACTATCTCACTTTTCACTGATAACTTGTGTTTTGGTTTTTGGTTGTTTATTTTTTTATTTTTTAGGTCTGAGCAGTACTTTGGGAGCCCAAGTGATATGGCTTCTGCAGCAGAACACATTAGAGAGAAGATGAAGCTAGTTAGCCTGAAAAAGCAGCAACTGAGACAACCAGAAGCCGCTACCCCAGAGAGCTAATACTGACCCTTGTCTATGAATTCATAATAGAACTTCAGTTTGTAATCCAGCATGTTGTTTGCATATTACAGAATTTGGCATAATATATTAAAATGCATTTCACAGCCATTATAAGTCTCATCTTTTTTTCAAAGTAATTGTCCTCAGCATCTTAACACTGTACATCTATCAAGCCATGATTATTTAACATGCTATGAAACCATAGATTCCAAGTATCTTATGAAAAGGAACTGTAAACTTTGCACTGAAATTTACTGTAAAGCTTTACCTGACCTGTCAGCTGCTTCTTAGTTAAACAGCTGATGCAAGCTTTGAATGGTGCTAATGAAAGTGTTAGGAGTTCCATATTATGAAACTGTAGTTCTTTGCTTCCCACTATGCCCAGGTGATGTAGTAATTTTAGACTGTAGGTAAAGTTCCTGCAGCGTAGACAGTGGTGACCCTATAATTTTAATTTGAAATCTTTAAAAAAACCCCAAACAAACCATAATTTTTATTGTGCCAGTATGCAACCTGCACATCAAATCTCTGATATATCAAATTCATTAAACAGATGTTTTCTTATTTGTATTGATAATGTATTAAAAGCTGTTTGTGCTTAATAAAAATCATCTTTTAAAAATCTAATATAAAATTGTTTTGTTCTCTATTCCCAAATGTCATATGTATTGTATTTTTGTGTTAAATGGTGGTAAAAGTCACCACTCCCTTAATATATTTACAAAGTCTGTATAATTTTTCTTATTAAATACTCTTTAACACACTGTTGCTATAAGGGGAACTGCTCTTGAACTATTACGGATAGGAGTGACAGTCTGTTATTTTTTCTTACTTGCTGATAGTGGTACTTACAGAAAAGTATGATAGTGTGTAGATGTCAGTGTTAAATTAATAATAGTTTTGTTCCCATATAAGACTAGTACACATCTTTTGTGCTTTAGTTCTAGGTCGTTTCCCTTTGAAAGGAGAATCTTGAATAATGTGAATATCCCTGGTAGTACCTTTGAGGTCAGATTTTCATTTAATGAAAAATGATTAATATGAAGTTCATAAACAACTTAAAACCATGAGATAAGTAATAAAATGAAATTTATTGAGGGAAGGGAATTGGACTGAAACAAAATCAGCTGTGTGCATAACTTGGTTGACTTCTTACTCTTCAGGGTTTAATCTGGATAAATTCAGGATTATATTTACTGGTAGATGGTGTGGTATCTCACCATTCTGGAATACTATGCGTGAAACAAACAGCTGTAGGTCTTAAGTACCTTATGTTATCTCACTGTGTTTTGTTCACAGTAAAGATAATGTTCTCTTTCTGCAGGTTTTCTTGATGGATCTGTCAGTCAAATATTATATTTACTTGTCTCAGTTTTTCCATACTTTCTCCACAGGAAAGTGATAAGTCAAGTAAAGCAATTTCTCTATCAAAAGTAATAATTCAAAATTAATGGCTTCTCTGCAACTTCAGTGATAGAGGTTGTTTTTTTTTTCTTTCTCTTAGGGTATTTTAGTAGAGAAAATCCAATTATTTTTTGATGCATTTGATGCAGTGGTACAATATTCCATTAATACTAGTTTAAAACTAACTGAAGTTTCACAGACCTTATTTATAAAGAAACTATTTCAGTATAATCTTTTAAAATTTGATTTAGTTGTTCAGTTACATTTGAGAAAGTTGCTGTTACTATGGCCAATACTTGGATGAGATAAATTTATTTAGAAAGGACCCAAACATGAATGATCTACATATGTTTAATGCAAAGCACAAACACGGTTAATAAGGTTAATAAGCACTCTGTCTCTGATTCTGCAGCATTTGTTTGTCAGTTGAATATAATTACAGTAAATAATGAGATGGGGACATACCAATAGAATAGGGAATGATTGATTATAAGGACTGTAGTTGCTGTAGTCATATAGTATGACTAATGACTTGGAAGTGATGGAGTCAACCCTGTTTTAACCCTGTTCCATGGTAATGAAATCAATAACAAGATTTCTAAGTTTCTTTTAGACAAGTTTGGATGTTTTTGAAATGTCTCAAAATATGGTAAGCATTTTGTTACTCCTTCTGGTAATGTAATCCTGAGTGTAGTTTTTGTGACAGTGAATAATGAGCAGCATTGGAATGGTCATCAACTCGGTAGGTGTCGTCCATTTTTAGTAGAGCATCAGTTGGACAGGGTGGGAGTCATATAAAATGCCTGTACCCATTCGGTCTTTTAATTGTGAAAGGCTTGCGAGTATTTGTTTTAGTTTCCATAATGTTTGATTCTGTTTACTGCCTGAGTTTGAATTGTAGTTAATAGGACTAATGGCTTTTTTGTTGTTGTTGTGTGGGGTTTTTTAGTAGTTTGGGGTTTTTTGTTTGTTTGTTTGTTTTGTTTTTTTTCTTGGAAAACACGTTTGGACTATGGAGACTTGTATAGCTTGTGTAACTGAGCGTTTAAATAGAGTTACTCTGGAGGTGCAGCAGGGGTTGCAGAAGAGTTGTGTGTGCAGTGGGATTGTATAGCACTTCTTATACCATCGTGCTAGCATAAGGGTATCAGTGTTAGCAGGATTTGTGTAGATAATTTAGTTCAGTAATGAACAGAAATGGTAACATAAGATTTTTATTGCAGGTAAACCACAGGCTTTTAAGTAATGCTGTTTTGTTGGCAGTTTAATGACAGCATTGTCATTATGTCAAATGTGTTGTGAATATCTAATGCTACAGGAAAAACTGCCTTTTGTGCACAGGTAACTGGCACACAAAATGTGCTTTGATTTAAGTGTGCTTAAAAATCTTAAAGTAATTTGAAATTGTTAAGCATGTGTTTTTATAGGTCTACTATTTTAAATATATATTTTATGTATTAGCAAGCCTTTAGCTGTTCCACAAACAGCTAGCTGTTGATTCTTGTGAGCAAAATAACCTATAGAAACATGATTTCTACTTATGACCACATAAATACTCCTAGCTCTTCTGAGGATCCTGACATTACATATCCTAATCTTGTTCTGTCTACTCTACTACAATACTGCCACTTTCAGAAGACAACGTGTATGTTAAGTAGACTAGAAAATAATGAAAAGGAGGTCTCATGGTAGCTGTGGGTCCTAGAACACATACTGTAAGATGCTTGATCAGTTCCATGTAGATAGCTATTACGCATAGAATAAGGCTGTGACAGCTCAAGGTAGAAGAACCCTGAGACTTCTGTGAAATCCTGATGATCACTGGCTTAATTTAAATGGTTATAAATGCTCCCCGTACAGTATGCTTATAGGTTGGGCCTTAAAAAAGACTTTGAGCCCTTTCCTAGATCTTACATCAAGCATTAATTCTAATAATCTATGAATTATGGAAATAAAATTGATAGTGAAGCTTATTTTGCTCTAAGAACTACCTCTTGAAGGAACTGATGGAATACCTGTTACTTGAGATGTTTTATATCAGACCTTCTCAAAACCCCTGATTTTTATTTGCTACTATTCTCCATTTTGGCAGGAGCAGTCAATGTGTTAACTTCAGTGGTGGAATTTTCAGACATGGTTCACTGTATTTTACTTGATTTGCAGTGTATGGATTGCCATCTCAATTTGGGGTTTTCTGCTTCCCATATTCATTTTGTCAGCAAGAATTGCAGATGCTGGGTAAGTGACAGCACATTCCCACTGTCACTGCTGACTTTCCAGGCATGCCTGGATTGCTCATGATCTCCATGCCTCATGGGCTCAGAGGTTGCAGAGTTCCAGTGGGCTGGAATGCTCCAGTAGGGCATTTCTCTCAAACATCATGCCAGCATTATTTTTTTTTTTTTTTAGAGTCTTTGCCAAGTGATAAGTGTCTTATAATGTTCCATTCTCCTCTTAAGGTTTTTAGATTACTAGGAAAGAGAGTAACTTTGATAGTGTCTTAACCATTTCCAGAGGGAAGCATGGTTACTTGATATTTATTATGATTGTGTGATGTGGGTCTGACTTTTAGAGACTTGGGAACAAGCCATATTCTAAACTGGTACTGAGCGCAGACTGTTCTCTTTCTAAACCCTTGTATGCAGCTCTGCACGCCTCTATTGGATGATAGATAACTAAGCTAGCCTCAGCAGGGTTGCATTTTGTACAGTGTATTCAACACATTTGACTGCTACTGCACATATCTCTGCTGATGATGTGAAGGTGATGCCCCCACTGTCTGCTTTATATCACTCACTGCCTCTCAGAGCATGGCCTTCCTCCTCTCCAAGATAAATGTATCCAAAGAAACACCATAATGTGGTCAGCTGTAGCTAGGGTTTTTATTAATGTTTTCCTTAAAACAACATTAAAAGACTGCAGTGAGCGACATGCTTAATGAACCTTGTAAGGTTTTTATTTCCACCCATTGTATATAGCCAATTGGTTAGGTGGCTGCTGTTTGCAGGCATCGTTTCATGGTGTGTTACCTCAGCAGAACCAGTCATTCATGAAGAAGCCAGGGCATTTACTCCTGTGGGTGACAGAAATATGAACTGTTGGAGTTCTTTTTGCTATTCATTATTAGCTGTTACCTCTTCTCTTGATATTGCTTTGTCTTCTGGACCTGATCAGAGATGTGTCTGCTTGTCTACCACTAAACTGTTTTCTCTGCTAACACTTTTGTCAAAGACTCTGCAGGTAATCCAACAGACATTTTAAAGAGTTCCTTTATTGTTTCCAAAGAAGAATTTACTTTCAGGATGAAATGATTGCTACTGCCAGTGTGTGTGTGTGTTTGGAGGGGATGACAGCTGCATTCCCTGCTTCACAGGGCTGCTAGGAAGGAAACCTCATTAATATTAGTGAGTGGGTGAGATGTTATAGTCATGGAAATCGTGCACACACCCAGAGGATATAAAAAGCACAGCTCAAATCATTTTCATCTCAGAACACTGAGGTGATGGGGTTTTTTTCCTATATATGGTAGTAAGACCTGAAGAGCAGTAGTCAGCAAAAAGAAAGGAAGGAAAACCAAGGAAGTGTAATAAAACCATTTGGTGAATAAGAGTTTAATTTATGATGAAAATATTCATAAAAATCATACGGTATCAACATGTGGGCTGTAAGGAAGTTTGGGAAGATCAAGCTCGTCCTTTGAAGGCGGTTAATCAAGTGCTCTGCAAATAGAGGAATGTTAGCACAGCAAGAAAGAGTAACTCGGAGAAAGGGGTTTAATTACAGAATACTTACTCAGTATCGGAGCAAGTGGAGAAGGAAAAAAAAAAAAAGCTATGCGGCCCATGTAGTTCTCTTGCTATTTTTATGCCTGGAACACTGAAAACAAGGTTCTAAAACGGTTACTGCTGGTCCTGCTGCAAGGGATGACTTAAGGTGCACTTCTGTGTAATGAAAGGATGACAACTTCTCAAAAGTTTCTATTAATTTAGGCCGAGTTCTGGGATTCGTCATTGAAATGTGGCTTTTAATCTTTCAGCTCTCTCCTGGAACTGCTTATGTTGGATTCAAGCTATGTGAGCTAAAAAATAGAGGCAGGGAAATAGTTTATTTTTTAAACTTTAAACTTCCTCTTGATGTACCTAAAGCCCACAGTAAATGTATAACTGAAAAAAAAATAAATTTTAAATCTTGCGATTTAAGAGAGTTAGTTAAGATTACTTTTT